TKSCTATGCTTAATATTTTAGCASGTCTYAAGGCATCTGTGATCCTTCAAAGTCGGCATGATTCAGCCAAGTACATAACTGCCCTCCAAGACTACCTCAACTTCACCAATCACACTTGGAAAAGATGCTTTCACTCAGGAGAACCAGGTCTCAACCAAACAGCTTTTCATCAGCTTTGTGATTCTAAAGGCCCAACAGTRACTATTGTACGAGTTGATGAATACATATTTGGTGGATATATTGACAAATCCTGGAAGGGTAAGAATGCTCCATCTCTTTTCTAGTCTAAAGCTACAGTAATACGAGCAGCAAAATCGTCCAACTTGTCTCGCAATTTTGCTGCAAAACAAGTTGGAAAACGATGTTGCGCGTTTTACTACTGGCGAACCAAATTGTCTCGCATCAAAATAATTTGATGCAGGTTGAGCAAATCCTTTTTTCTGATTGGCCAATGATTGTCGYACGACGTCATTTTGCTACAAGTTGGGTTGATGCGTAGTAATACGGGCAACATATTCGAGTTTTGTTGCAAAAAGTAGAACCATCTTCTACTTTCTCCTCTCCTTTCTGCAGCAAACKTTTTCTACTKGCAACCAAAAATTTTGCTTCGAAAAAAGTTGGTTTGTCGCTAGTAGAACTCGCAACATCGTTTTCCAACTTGTTTTTCAGCAATATTGCGAGACAAGTTGGACGATTTTGCTGTTAACCTTTTAATAGTTTTCTAATGTGTTCCCATGCCGGGGCCCAGGCCTCCTCCTTCCGACACRCTCCTGCCGGAACTTGTTAGTTTCCCCCATGTTCAACCTGCTGTCGTTGTAGCGACAATGTCTTATGSCTTGTTTAATTTGCTTTGATTTGCATCAGCTGTCAGCGGCTGTATTCATTTAAGTCCTGAGCTAATAATAGTCTTTTATTCATTATATAGCATCCAAGCCCTGTATTGCTGTCATGACTAGCCGTGCATTTATATTTTCTCTGTTCAACGAATATGGTTTCAAACCTTACAAGTTTAAAGTCAAGACTGGTAGTAATAAATATGTGGCAGCTTACMACTGTGCAAACCAGGGACCATCGTTTGGCTATGGCTACGATTTGGTTCTGTACGGTGGGACTTCCATCGGGTCATATGCCAGATGTCATTCATACGAAAAACCGCCAAACTGTTCCTGTAACGTCAATGTCACCTGTACCTTTTATACAGGGAAAAGGTCTTTTATTCCAAGCGACGTCGAGGTCTTTTACCAAGTTTAATAAGCTTTTGCTATCACAAATTTAAAAAATGAGATTGTGATCAGTTTTTTCGATCAGTTTTGAATAGAAGCTCGTAGTGATGAAGCCGCGGTCTGGTCATCAAAAGTCGGTGCCTGCTAAACGGAGATTACAACCTTYAGTAGAATAATGATCCTTTGACTGTTCTATGGTGGTTAACCATTCAAAAGGTCTTCTTCATGAATCTTGAAAATCAACAGATTAATCACAAGTCAAGACTTAAGTGATTTTTGTGAGTAGGAAACTCATCTGACAATGTCAGTCGCACTCAGCGCAATTCCCGCACTTTGTCTMTGATTGTCTATCACGTGTATATTATATTACTTAATAATACAAGAGTTTTGTTTGTGCACTCAATAAATGTTTTTCATTTAACCWAGAAATTTGCAGAGTATATCATTGAACTCTTCCTGACTTGACCTGTCAACATATTGGCAACTTCAATTCCTTAATTATTCAAGAAATTTTGCTCTAGTGTCAAAAATTTACCATAGAGGATACAATTGGGAGGAAAAGCCTTTTGGCATTAAAAATGGACAAAAAGCAAATTGACTAGTATCTCAATTCGTACAATTACAATTACAGTTACAATTACAGTTATTCTCATAACTTGGATAACGACGTTATACATGACATTCTTCTCTTGATTTTTCCTTTTTTGTCAATACGACAGATACRAGAAACCCTGCCCAGTTTGTTCAGTGTTCTTTGTTGTTTGGTTTTGCTAGTTTGCTCTCGTTCCACATTGTAACTTCCTTATCCTCTGTTTATTCTTTGTGAATATATTTGTTTTTTAATTAGTCATAGACAAAATGACGTGCAGTTGTCACTGATAAATGAATCAATCCAATAGCAATGATGAATAATACAGCAGTCTGACCGGAGCAAAATATTGGAAACTCTTAACTTTGTAATGTTGTATTTTTGAGTTTTTTTTATTTTGATGTATGTCAATCACGAAGTCAAAAGTACATTCAAGAACCCCCCACCAATTTTTATCGTCAACACTTACTGCCGTAAGAAGGTGAGTCTAAGTATTTTTACCACTTTGAGACAAATCGTGGGCTCCATTATTGAGTATTCATTCAATATTTGATGAATAAAGCGTGTTTGCGTAGCAAGGTGATTTCTTTAGTTAAGAACTTGGATCGTTACTAATCATTTCCAATGACAGAATCCAGCAAAAACAGAAACAGTGGCGAGGACTGGGCACCTAAATAGACGCACCGCACTGGAACTCCATATGGAATTACTGCAATTGGCAGCAATTAATTTCGGTTGATAAACTTTTACTGTAATATTTAACTACTGAGCTTGATGACTTCGTTGAAARAGAGAAATAACATCTGAACAAATAGAAATTCGGAAGCTTAACAAGCCAGTGTCGAAAAAATATGTCAGTTTACAATTGGGCACTACTCATTCTGCTTGTTTTGTGATAAGCCGCCGACAGTCTTGTTTAGTTTATAATAGTCGCTTGCTGCTCAAGACTTCACACTGATTCAAACGCGAAAGTCACATCAGCAAAAATGAGGACTGCTCTAGTGTTTTCATTTTTCATTTACTTWCAAGTTTACACGGTTCCGTTGGCCTTTGCTGCTTTTTACCCAACAACTATAAAAGATCACATTGTTGTGAAAAGAGTWTATCAAAGTGTTGAAACCCAAGACTGGATRCAWTGTCTTGTTTTATGTCATTCTGATGTCGACTGTTCTTCTTACAACTTCAAACTCGACGAAAACRAAGCGGGAAACAGTTGCGAGTTGAGTARATGTGGCTTYGGTGAAAGAGAGACGACTTAYTTGATTTCAAGGCAAGGATTCGTATTCAATCAATTAAGACCAGTCAAGGTATAACTCAGTTTTAATTATATTATWGGAGTACTTATTTTTCCCKGTAGATTTTTGTTATGCAATGTGTTAATACTTCTTCAATGAGTTTCACGGGTTTAATGTGTAAACTGTGTTCAGCATGAGTGTTTCTGTTTTTTTCAGGAAAATCATTTGTGCCGACAAAGAGCACCGCAGAAACCTTCAAGCGGCTTGTGCGGTATTGAGATTTTTTTCATCTGATAATTAAAATTTSTACGAGCTGTCCGGAATTACACAAGAGTGTGTTTTAATCAAATTGTTCAATTGTCTACAAATAATAAGTAGCAATGATATTTATGTTTACTCATGTTATTGCAGATGGTCTTGAATCATCATTGATCCTCARCARCCCAGGACGTCCTAATACATATWTGATGGCTCTTTGTCGATATCTGGGACCGGCAAAACATTCATGGAAAAGATGTTATCATAGTGCGGCACCATTCAACCAAACAGCWTTTCATCAGCTTTGTGATTCTAAAGGCCCAACMGTGACTATTGTACGAGTTGATGAATACATATTTGGTGGATATATTGACAAATCCTGGAAGGGTAAGTAATCACGCAGTTCGCTTTCACAGAGCAATTTATAATAGCTAACGCGTGCGTGCGTCAGTGAAGAACGTGCTTCAGAACCAAKCAGAGCTACATGTACAATTTATTTGAAACCACGTGATATGCCTACTAATTTCAGTAATATGCTTTATATTCAGAAGCAAAAGGCAATTGCCCACCAGTCACAAGTGATMGAGCTTTTTTGTTCTCGCTGTACAACAAATACGGTTTCGACCCTCATAAGTTCAACATCCGCCCAGGAGCTTCAAATGTTGCACATGCAGCTTGGCACTGTTCAAAGTTTGGTCCAGCGTTTGGTCATGGCTTTGACTTAATTCTGTACCCTAAGCCCGATCAATCTTATGCTAGGCCCTTATCTTATGATTTGCCACCAAATTGCAAAACTTCAGAATTCTGTAAATTTTACACCGGGACGGACAGGTTCTGGCCAAGTGAAGTTGAGGTTTTCTATGAAAACGGCTTATTATAGCTCACTCAAAGCTACGTCATGGAACTATCCTAAGAAAGAAAAAAATGTCGCGACCAGAGCAAAAACTTTCATCACTTCGACCCTCTTGAAGAGTCGTCATTAAGTTGCGCAAAATTTTGGGAAATATGGAAACAGGAGAAAGAACAGCATKCTAGAAAGAACACAAAAGTTTCTTTACTCACTGTCCCGTGACCCTCAGAAGTCGCGCAGACCAGTAGTCAGCACAAAATGAATGATCAAAGCCACCTTTATTCTTGATTGCAGTATAAGAATTATAAATGACGAGACTGAAATCAATAAAGTTATTTTTGGTCTTTAGAAGCACTTTGTTTTTACTTCAACATTTTTTAGGGTTACTTGGGCTTCCTGTGTTGTCATCGTAGTCACGTGTTTAGTGTTTACAAGTTTGGCGGGAAATTTTTTACAACATGGCGGAAGGACGAAGATTTGAGAAGTCTGAATCAATCCTTCGTCCTTTGTCCTTTTATGATAATGAATTTGTCGTTTGATAATATTTTGAGAATTTTTGATACTTGAAATATTAAATAACCACTTGCTTTGCGATATTCTTGTCCAAAAAACACGTTAATTGTCAGTTTGTCTCCGTCCTTCGCTATTTGGAGAAGTGTCTTTATTTTGAATTCGACAAAGATGGATGAATTTGAGGAACTTTGTTATCCCGAAGAAGAAGACGATTTTGAAGATCGCTATGCTGATGAACTTGAGGTCATGGAAGAAATCGGGGGAGGTAGGATAGTATGTAGCTCATTCATACCAAGTACAAAACAAAGTTTTAATTAAGCTTATTCTTTGTCGTCCAAGCAGATGGTCCTCCGTCAAGAAAATCTCTAAATTTCAATGATCAATCAAATAAGCCAGCTCAATCTATAAACACTGATCCCAAGATACAATCAATGAGCTCAGCCAAGAAGAGATCAAATGATGACATGTATGGATTGATATCAGATGATGATGATGATGATGATAACTTGAAAACATTACAAGAACTTGATGTAGATATCCTAGGTTAGAAATATTTTATTTTCAATTGGAGATGATTATACTATTGCTTAGTATGTGGAACCCATTTATCGCTTAACATTGTTATCATTATTCAGGCCCCTGCAAGAAAAGATCAAGACATACCAGTCCAGGAAACAAGGGTTTCAATGACTTTAATCACAACCTTTCCCCAGTTGCTAACGGCATCAAAACCTATAACAAAACAGGCTCTCCTTTTGATAAAAATACAGTCATTTCAACAAGGAGTTCACYATTACATAAGGCTGAAACACCAACTGTGCAAAGAAATGRTTGTAGTGCATTTAGRAGACCCCCAATGGGCAAAGAAGCAATTACAATMACTAAGACTGATGGACAAAGGCTGTATTTGGTTATCAATAATGAATCAGATGATTTTAGTACTAAAGCTAAGGTTTGTATAATCCAGGATATCTTCAGGGTGTTCATGTAGTTTATAAAATACATGTATGTTTATTTGTCTCTTGACTTTAATACTGTGGAATGACAAAAAGGAGACTACTAACCTTGTTCATTGAAGTTATAAAGATTTTGCATTTTTGTACTCTGTAGTCAACTAGAAATCAGTCTCAGAAGAGAAMCAGYTCACTCCAGCTACTCCAGGTGCCATTTAGTGTACTAAGGCAACATGTTGATGAAGAGGTGAGGATGGACATTGACTACAGCATTTGAAATACCAATTTTGCCAGTTTRTAATATCGGCTGTTTTAAAATGTTACAGAGGAGAAGAAAAATGGCTGAGGATTCAGATAAAATAGCAGCTTCTTTGAGAAGGTATGAACTTGAGTTAGTCAATATGTTGGTCACAAAATCCAGTTTATCTGATTGATATTGTTAGTAAGTCAAAAGTGTGTTTTGTTATCTGAGTAGAGCCTTAGAAAATGAAGATGAGGACATGGAAACATGTGAAGAAATCAAGAACCAAACAACTCCACAAATTGCTGAACATATACTTTGGGTGGAAAAATATTCTCCAAAACTTTTTACTGAACTTCTAAGTGATGATGTAAGCTGTTGAACATTATATGATATTATTATATTACAATATATCTCTTATATGCTTTGAAAATTAAGCCATATCAGAATATTTTATTCGTATTGACTTTCCTCATTTTGAGYGTGTGTTTCATTTGGATCTCTTGTAATGCGCAATTTATAAATTATATGTATTTCTYATTCTTATCAATACCATTCAATTCAGGCAATTAACAGGACACTCTTGAAGTGGCTAAAGTTGTGGGATAGAGTTGTTTTTAACAAAAGCAATGTAACTATCAAACCAAAAACCACAAAGCAAGGCAAAGAAGATGAGAAAGATAAACTCAAACTTGGAAAAGGAAACAAAAAGTTTCATAAAGGAGGAATAGACAGCGAGGAATGGATTGTAAGTTGGTTTTAATTTGTAATCATGATAATCACCATCATCATTGTTTGTGTATTACTTTCCCCATAGGAAGTTGATTCTAAGGGTTATCCTGTACGCAAGGTTAGTACCTTTGTACACTCAATACTTTTATTGCTCATATGGAATTCTTACATCACAATTGCTGTTTTCTTGTAGATTGCTCTTCTTTGTGGGCCGCCTGGTCTTGGTAAAACAACGCTAGCTCATGTCATTGCCAGGCATGCTGGTTATAATGTTGTTGAAATGAATGCAAGGTTAGGATTCATTGTAGTTTTTTACATGTAACTAAGTTTTACAACATTTCCATGGTATTTTTTTGCTATAGTGATGATCGTTCTGCTGATATTTTCAAGCAGAAGRTTGAAACAGCTACCCAAATGCAGTCAGTGTTAGGTGCTCATGARAAACCAAACTGTTTGGTGATTGATGAGATTGATGGAGCCCCTGCAGTAAGTTTGCATATTGAATTGTGTATCAAAATAGTGTTGTGCCTGTAACTAGTCCTATAGATATGTCAATTATTGATGATTATCTCTTTATAGGCTGCCATTAATATACTGTTATCATTTATCAAGAAGAAAGACGCAGGTAACATAGAGAAGGATTTCAGCATTTAAATTATCACTTTCAGCAACTCTTGTTGTATTGAATAGATGGGACAAAGAAAAACAAGAAAAGAAAACAACAGACTCTTGCAAGACCTATTATTTGTATCTGTAATGATCAGTAAGTTTATGATAAGAAAATCTGATTAATGATGATGATGACAATGATGATGATGATGATGTGACAATTCCTTTGCATAGTAAAATTTGTAAAGACAAAGAAATGCTTACAATACAGCTGTAAAATGTCTGAATGYAATCTTGTAGGTTTGTACCTGCCCTCAGACAGCTGCGCCAGCAGGCTCTGATTGCTGTCTTTCCTAAAACCATACCAGGAAGACTTTCGTCCAGGTTGAATGAGGTACAGTGGTAGTGTGTTTATATTTTAGTATCTCCTCATTCCCTMTGTGTTATCAATACAGAATGTATTCCACATTTTTGATTACAACATTATGGTTTTTATAACAGATTTCAAGAAGAGAAGGAATAAAAACAGATATGACAACTCTCTTAGCATTATGCGACAAGGCTGATAATGATATTCGCTCATGTTTAAACACACTGCAGGTATTAGTCTTAATGCATTTAATTCAGACTCTGCTAAGAGTATAACATTCCCAGACCAAGGGTATGTTTCATCAGCATACTATTAGACAGAGMGTTGTTCTGGCAAGCTACTTATACACTGCAAGCTAATGATATAAAGAAGGTAGAAAAAAAACAGTTGTAAACACTAGTAAGCTTGTTAACAAAATAAGCACAGAGAAAATTAATGATTTTAATATCTRCAAGATACTAGAAGTACATTGTTATTTTTTCTGTTCTTTGTAGTTTGTCCAGAGAAGGCATGGCTGCCTGTCAATGGAATATGTGCAATCTAATAACGTTGGACAAAAAGATCTTCACAAAAACCTCTTTACAATCATGCAAGAAATTTTTCAGCTACCGAAACCAAAGAAGAAACGTTTTACTGGCTTTAAGGAGAACGCAGTTAATGAAAGTAAAGAGTTTTTGAATTCAATTGGGCTTAACGKTGAAGCGGGATTGGTTGGAAACAGCGTATCACCTCTTACCAGTAGATTCCATAACACTTTGAGGTCTGCAAGTTCTTGTGGTCAATTTGATAAATTGGCGCAAGGTATGTATATAGTAATTGGGATTATTATTACCATCATCATATGCCTGTATGGTATTACCAAAACGTCCATCCCAATGAATTATTGAAAGTGAGTATTGTTCTTGAGCTAAAAAGACTATAATTGTTCTTTAGGTTTATTTGAAAACTACTTGAATATCAAATTCAAAGACTCAGGACTGAATGCGGTAAGTTAATGTCAAAAAAAAAAAAGAATTGTAGCGCGAATTGATTGAAACAGTTGCTYAATCTTGTTTCCTTTTTTCTTATAAGCTCCTCTCAGGAACAGAGTGGCTGGAGTTTGCAGACTTTATAGAGCAACAAATCCAATCAACTCAGCAGTACACTCTTCGCCGGTACAGTCCATTCCTGTCCGTCGCCTTTCATTTATTGTACGCGACGCCATCGTCATCTAAACTCAGTTATCCAAGCAGTCAATATGAAGTGAGTCTTWACAACTCTCCTAAAGTTGTTTATCCACACTTCTCTCATTTTCTTCCTAGCTGTACTTCCTTTTCTTCCCTTTCATCCGTTCCGTTCTCTTTTCGGTCTGCCATTTCCTTTTTCCCACTCTTCGTGTTTTTCTCCATTTTTAAATTATTTGATTTATTTCTACAGTGCTATGTCAAGCAAACGAAAATGTCTAGTTTACTAACTACAATAAAGACAGATGCCTCGCCTCGTATACGCAGCGTTCTAGATGAGCGCATTGCGTGCCTCGAATTGTTTCCGTTGTTCCTGGAAATCATTACTCCAAATATGCGCCCGGTATGTACTTGAATCACTACTTGTATCACTATACTATCTTGAGCCATTCTGAACGGGACATATATCTGGTATTACAAATATAAATAAAATATTTTTTGTTTGATAGGTCAACATGCAGTTATTTAGTACCAGAGAAAAGCAGCAAATGTCTGAACTTATCGATTCCATGATAGCTTACAGCATGACATACCACCAGGAAAGGAACGTTGAAGGACAGTATAACTACGTCTTGGACCCGTACGTATTACGCACATCATTACGCAGGCTATTTATGGATATAATGTTTGTCTCGTGCGTTGCACCCTGAATTTTACAGAGAAAATTTATGCTTTTTACATAAGGGTAAAACAATTTATTTAGCTGCCTTGTGGTTGCACTAGTGCCACGAATAATTCATTTTATACATTTATTCTTTCGTTCATTTTTTTACATTTTCTTTCATATAATGATTTATTTATTCATTTATGTCTGTATTTCAATGAAAACCTTTCAACATACGTTATATTTATATTACTTTCACCAGTAATATCGAAGAGATCGTCAAGTTTCCCTCTCTTCCCCAACACAAGCAGCTGACTTATGCGACCAAGCAACTAATTGCAAGAGAGGTATCTCATTACACTTTAAAGGCTTAATGACTTCACTTAAAGGCTTCTTATTCCGAAATTGAACATGTTGTCAATAATAGTTCGTTGTCATTTACTTCAATGAATTGAGGTTTTATTTCTGGCAATCCATTGTGTGCATTACCGCTTGGTGTTAATTTGATGGCCGATAAAATTCGTCTCCTTAACGGCTGTCATTTATCTGACTCAGTCGTTTTTTGATTGGTGTTTTTACCATTCATTTCCTCCTATTTCCATGAAAACAGATGGTTTTTGTCTATTCTCTATAAAAGCTTCCTTAATTTTCATTTTATATGTCGTTTTATTGTTTGTTTAGATTGACCTTGAGAAAATGAGAAGAGTGGAGAATACGAGATGCAAGAGATATGGCTTGTAAGCATAAGAACACCATAGTAGTGTTATCGTTTGTTGATAAAAAGTAATAAAATACAATTAACTTTAAAACATTTATTTTAGTTCTGAGGCACCAGCACAAACCTTCGTGAAAAAAGCATCGAATAAAACAGAGACAACTCCAAAAGAAATTCCCGAAAAGAAACTTAAATATGTGAAGGAAAAGGTAGTTGAATGGGATTTCCTCGACTCCTGCAGTCATAAAACAACTGGTCGACTTATTCAAGGCATTGACATGTTTTTTTGTGTGTTTAGGTCGCTTTGGACTTCTTTGGTCAGCCAATTAAACCAAAAACCAAGGAAAACACAAAAGAAGGTATAATTACTGAAGACTTGCTCACGACTATATCAAGAACTCTCGTTTTCAAGTCCCTTATAATTATGCTCTCTGAAATCTCGTATTCTTATTTCCAGGGCAAAATACCAGTAGCACTTCAGCAGATCAATCATCTACAATGATTTGGTTTAAATTTAATGAGGGTTACAGCAACGCAGTCAGGAAAAACGTCAAAGTTCAAGACTTATTGTGAAATGGATGCACGTTTGGTTTTGACGGAAAACAAGTTTTCTTACTGTATATACAACACCTATGGCAAAAATAAATAATTGATAGTTTATTTATCAGTCACTTCAGTTCACAAAACTCCAACATGCTCTCTTCTGCGAAGAGAGAATCGTGTATTCTTCCTAAGTATATGACACGTAGTATACGTCATCGGGATTTATTGGTTATCCTTGTAGTAGTAGTAGTATGGCAGCACAACCGTGTCTTCCTAATTTGAAACTCGCACCTGAGCTCGATGAAAACCTTTTAAGTGAAGAAATGGTATTCCTATTGGCTATGAAGTAAAAATATTGCTTCTGTTTTCATTAGTATAGGAGGCCATCTTTTGTCCTTATTTTCCGTTTCAATGAGTGCGTATTCAAAATCTTGGATGAGATGAACGCCGTTTGAATGCGGCTTGACGTCACGATGCTCAACTAATGCGTACACATTATTTCATCATCGTTCAAAGAAATCTCAATATATTTTTCATTATTCCAGACACTACGGGATATTGAAAACCGATATGTGGGAAAAGCAAAGCAAGTTATTATTCTTTTGTTTTGTTGCTATTTTGAATCAGTCGTCAAAACATTTCAAAATCAAAGCTTTTAGACGCTTGGGTAGTTCAATTCACGCATTAATTGTACCCAAATATATGAATCAYTGCGATTCTTGTACGAACGAAAACAGTGATCTAACTTATCCAAAAAGAGATCGACTTTATATTGAGCCTAACATATTAGGTTAAGAATATTCTTGTTATAAGGTCGACCAACATTTAATTTCAAACTACAGCACTTGGACATATGAGTTGAACTTTGAATCGACTTTGAAGTGCAAAGTTTGAAATATTTCAACCGTCTAAAACTATCCATGGAAACAGCCATTGCATGACATTTCACAAGCCTACTTTATTGTCGAATAAATCCCAATATGCATTTGTAATATTTTGTTTTCAATGTCTCCATGGAAACGGGTACGTGAAGGTTACTTCCTTGAAATGACGTCATTATTCCTATCCAATCAGTGCGCTTTTCAGATTCCGTTAAGTAATGAACCAATCATAAAGACTGTAAGAAATGTGGGATGACGAAGACTGAYACACATGAACGAAGAGATTTKSGCTACGGTTGCGTTGATTCACGATGTTTTAATTTTTTCTCAACCAAAAACATATTAACAATGAACCTCCCCATGATATAATGAGAATCTTTTAGTTATGAAAAGTCGGGTCGTACCCTCAGAAGACAACGAAGAATCGAAAAACCATTCCATGGAGCTGCAAGCCATCTCAACTGGAGACGATCCATACAGCGGTGAGAACAAAGTTTGGATAATTTTTAACTAGTTGTAAATCTATTTGAAATGTGAGCCCATTCGACCATGTTGGGTTAATTTGTTCAGTTGAAGTAAACTGTGAGTTTTTTGCTATCTTAGTTGATCCGTACGACTTGGAAGACGACGATGTATCGCCGCAACAAAGTGTTAGTCGACATCTCCCGAGTAGAGCCAATACAACTCGACATGGGACGGTACGTAGAAGACACTCTTCTAAACGTAGAGGGTCAATTGCAGTGGAAGATATGGAAATTGATCAGCAAGATCTGGAACCTGTCGAAAGCGTCAAAGCAATTGCTGCCCCTATGCAGCAAAAGAGAGAGATGAGGTAGATTTGGATCGGTAGAGTTTCGATATACGAGTTGTTGATTGTTTTGCTATTGTCCTTCGGTATTATTGATGTCAATGCACTCAAGCTTCACAATGTTTTCTTCAGCATTTTGAAGTAAAAGTCACTTATAGTTTTTATCTAGTTGTCTTATAACCCCACCACATCTCGTGTGTTATTAATTTTTAAAACTATTTAGTTCCATTAACATTAGTTACAAAGTACTTGTAAAAAACAGGCCTGCGAATATATTTTCGTTACGTAAATATTTACTGCAAATTTAAGTGAAATTTACATATTGAATTTGATTCGGTTCAATCTTTCATTAGTTTTAAAAAGAATTGTAATTTTTCTTGGACGCTGAAGCATTGCAAACAATATAAAGCTTAATCTTTTACATTTTCTGTAATGTAGACTTGATCAACTGTTGACCGCATCATGTTCTAATTTGCAAATTGGACGTATGTATTTATATCTCAACCATACAAGAAATAATATTTATCTAGCTCCTACTTGCATTAAATTAATGTTGTGAGCCTGTCATTCAAAGCCCTATTCATACACAGAGGTTAGGAAGCAATATTCATTTTTGCTGCGAGCGAAAACAATGGCTGTGATAGGGCTACAAGTAGGTGGCCTATTTTAGCCTCGATTATTTACATAAAACTTTAAAATGACGAAAGCGATGAACTCCAATTTACACGACCATGCTTTCGTTTGATAATTGAGTTTGTATCTTGTTCACTGTATCGAATGACGGTGAGGGAAATGACATCTTAAAAATACTGTGTTATCAAATTACTGTGTCAGCGAAGTATGTTAGTGATGCGTAATTTTCAAAGCAGCTATGTTTCTTGAACCAGACGTTTTACATAAAGCATAACATTTCTCTTAGTCTGAATATTAGCAATGTTTAAGATGACCATRAAGACCAGAGTTTTGACATGTGTAATAATAATAGATAGCTGCAGATCATTGAAAGTGTTATGGTCAGTTGGTTTTCAACATCTTTGATTGACAGCTGTCTATTGCAAGTTGCAACTTTTCTCTTGACTGGTTACATAGCATTTGCAAATGACTGCATAAAGAGACTGTGTACCAAAGTTAAGCTAAGACTTTCAAATATGGTCAGACATAATCTTTTGTTTAGAAAAGAGGTAAGAAATGACAACAACAATATTTTTATGATTCTAGGAAAAACCAGGCACAAACTGTGAAACATATATCATGTTGGAAAGGTTTCAAGCTACAGACATCAATGGTAAGCTATCTTTGCCAAAACAAATCTGAATAGATTGGAAACTTCAAAGAATTTAAGAGTAATTATAGTCCCAAGGATACTTGGGTTCACCCTATGGTATGTTCTGTAAAGTCCATGTGCAGCCTTCTTTACAGCCACCATAGTTAGTAAATAACTATGCAGCCAATCATTATATCAACATACATAATGACAGCTGAGAGGCTGCAGAAGAGGCCTGTTCATCGGAATATTTATACCCGTTTGAAGACCGAGGGCCAAGCAATAACAATCAACTTCTTTTATTGCAAACATTATTCCCCTTAGCTTTTTAAATTCTTGAGTCTAAATGTGCGTTGTTTTGTCATTTAGGCCTTCCATAGATTTTTTGCTGGTGTAAAGGAGTTTTTTCAGGACATTGAGCTTTGGAAAGGTCATCTCAAACAAGTTGAAGGTAAGAACATCATGGTTTAATACAGCCACTTCAGTTGGAAAATCAAGAACTGACCAACCTTAATTATTTCTTTTAATATGTTTCAGGTCGATTTGGAAATGGAGTGGTTTCTTATTTTCTCTTTCTCAAATGGATGTTATTTCTCAATTTATTCTTATTTTTGATTGTGTTTGGTTTTGTTGGCATTCCTACTATTGTAGCTGATTATCACCCTGTTACATATGACAATATAAGTACAGCTCAAAGTACGAATAGCTGCGTATTTGGTTATCCATCAGACAGATACGCCAAGACCAGTGTGGATAGCTTGATTGTGGATTTCATCACAGGCCAGGTAGACAACTATTGGATGAGAATTAGAATAAGGTTTTCAAAATCAAGATCAAAATTCATGGGTTGAAAACAGCACTCTCAGAGACTGGAAATACAAAACCCAAAAATCCTAGAAATATTTTCTTAGATTTTTTGAAAGTACCTTCATCCACCACTCGAATTGATAATTTGCATAGTTTTCCTCTTGTGCTATATATTTTCAATATTTATTTTATTCTTATCATTGCAGGGATGGATTAATACCACAATAATGTTCTACAGTAATTATCCCTTTAATCAGAAACTTAAAGTGAATGATGCAGAATACAATTTGCCATTGGCCTATGTGCTTGTTGGTGGTGCTTATTTCTTTGTTAGCTTACTGATGATGGTCAAAAAGTAAGCTCACACTACATATTCATTTCATAATCAAATACTGATAATGTAGTCACCTTTGTAAAACTTACTTTGTCTAAATTTATGTCTTTTTCCTTATTGCAGCTTAACACAGAGTTTTGAAGAGAGCTACATCGAAGGTGGTGGCACATTCTACTCCTATTGCAACAAAGTCTTTGCTTCCTGGGATTACTGTATTGAAGATGAAAATACTGCTAACGTGAAGAGTCAAAACATCTATCAGGATATTAATGTATGAACAATATTTATTAGATATGGCTTGTTGCAGCTTGATTGAAATATTATTGTATTCTAATATAATTGTGTTGGATTTCAACTTGTTTGTTTAGGCTGAATTAGCAGAAGAAGAGAGACTTGAAAAAGTGCAAAGYCGTACAACTGCCACAAAAGTTAAGCTTTACTCTTTAAGAATATTGATCTCTTTCTTGGTAATGGCTCTTCTTGGTGGTGCTATCTATGCTATTTATGCAACAGTTGAAGTCTCTACTAATCCTGTAAGTATATGCTATACTATATAATCAGCTCTTAACATTTTATTTAATTTTATTCCATTTACTCTTTAATTTCTATGTACTCATAATATATGCCATGACATTTTTTTACTTTTCAGGAGTACCAAAATAGCGTTGAGTCCAATCTTGTGAAAACCATTATCAGATCTGCTCCTTCACTAACAATCACAGCTCTCAACTTGATTCTTCCACCATTCTTCCAAATCCTTTCTCAAGCAGAAGACTGGAGTCCGAGGTTTGAAGTGGCTCTAAATCTGTGGAGGTGAGTGATATAGATGAAAGAAAACTGCTATTGAATTATTCTAATTGTATGAATATTCAATGATTAGGACTGTTTTGCTGAGACTGGCCTCAGTGGCCGTGTTGATGATCACCCTTTATGCAGATGTTGGAGCACGRTGCACAGAAGGCAATTCACAGAAGTGCTGCAGGCAGGTCAGTCAKTGGTTGAGTCTCACTACCTCGGCTGAATAATGTCATAAAGGTTGTTGTTTTTATGTGACAGAGTTGGGAGAATGAGATAGCWTCACAGATGTACATGTTGATATGGATTGACTTGTTTGTTGTGTTTCTCACAACTGCTTTAATGGAAACCATAAGAAAGTAAGTTTCAACTTCCTGAATTGAACAGCAAYACTCTGCTCGACTGTGTACATCCATTCCAACTGTGAATTTCCTTCATAGGGGGAGGGGTGGGGATAGATGTAAACTTACTATAAGAATAAATGGCTTAAGTCAAATAGAGTAATGTAATAAATGGCTTAATTGTTTCTTAATTATGTATTTTTTAATAGACTTCTACACAAGCATACAAAGTTGTTCAGAAAGCTGAATGTCATGCCAGAGTTCCAGATACCTAAAAACGTACTTGATTTAGTGTATGGACAGTGTCTTATCTGGTAAGTCATACYTTTCCAGTGTGCTTTACTTACTGAGTTTATGACTATGAGAATTCTGATGATGTTATGTGAATGTAGTGATGATGATGATGATGAGAGAGTAAAACAAATAATATAATTTTGTCTTTTGTTTTTAGGATCGGAACATTTTTTAGCCCACTTATTCCAGCAATGGGAGTAGTGAAGCTATTTCTAACATTTTATCTGAAAAAGGTAAAGAACTTTAGCGTTTTTTTTATTCGTCTGAAAAGTCTTTGCTTTTGTGTTCGCTCAAAGTATCAAAATACCTTAAAGCAGGTTAAATCTCTCATCTGCACCTAATGATGAAATTAAATTTGTTTTTATTCTATTGTCTTGAGACTAGTTTGAAGATTGAGAACAATCCAATAGCATGGTAGTATAGTACAAACCCTACAGCAAACATGAGATGTTTATAATTGTGATTCTAGGTGAGCTTAATGTACAACAATAAACCATCCAATAGACCATACCAGGGAGCCAGGTCCAACTACTTGTTCACTGTCCTACTTCTCATCACCTTTTTTATGTGCCTTGTTGCTGTTGGCTGGGGCATTACCAGGTAAGTACTTCGTACTGTGTTTTGGTGGAATGGATACATCATTAATCTCTTCATTACAACGTTATTTATTTCTAGAGTTCGCCCTTCTTGCCATGGACCTTTCAGGTTAGTGTAGCTGTAACATTCTGGATGTTACTACTCTCTGCTGCTTTACTAATATTGTAATATTCCAGGAATGACTACTGCGCAGACCGTGAAATCATCGATCTTGTTGGAGAAGTTATTAGCACGTGGCCGAGTGCTTTAAAAGAAATTATCAATTATATCAGTACTGCTGCTTTCATCTTTCCTGGACTCATGATATTCTTGTAAGTAAACTGTTCTTCTCTTTGATTCTTTTCTCATTCAATCATTCATTCAACCATTCATTCATTCATTCATTCATTTTTTGATTCATCCATTCTTTCATTAATCTTTAACTCGGTTTACGTTACTATCAAACTCAGTTTTCGTTTTCTCCACAGCCTACTGATCTACTACTTTAGATCAATGATGAAAGTCCATTTACAGATGATAGAAATGTTGAAGGATCAACTTGTTCTGGTAAGCACTTTCGTCCCACTTTTTAATTTTCATTCAGGCAGAATGTARACGTCTACTTTTCTGTCACTCGAACTATTATAGAGTTAATTGTATTCAATGAGCGTTATTCATCGTTACAGGAAGGACGAGATAAACGTTACTTGATGGAGAAACTCATTTCATCTACAAAGCGAGCACCAATAGATGAAGATGATGAGGAGGAAGAGGCTGGTTCTCAAGTCACTCGGGATACCAACATCCCTCCTTCTCGAAACGTGAATTTCTAATATGCTCCAGACATGTTGAATATCACTTGACGTGTGATGTGGTCAGAATTATGTACATAGGGATTGAATATGTTCTCATATACCAATATTTATAGATTTATAGTCGTCTATGCATGTGTTATAGACTTGTATTTAAGGCTGTGCCTTTCTAAAAGCAAGAGTAAACTAGAAAGRAACACCTAGTTTCTCTTGCAAACGTTTTCAGTAAAAGGTTTGGAAAGTAAGATCATAATCAGAAGAGTTTTGAAAAGATTGCGAATATCACACTCAGATGGAGATTTTTGAAGCGTGAGCTGGATCGTTTTATATCTGTTCATACTTGTGAACTTCAATCTATAATATATGCATGCATAGACAAGACTTCATCAGGAATATCGTGAAAGGGGCTGTTTATATATGKTAAGTCAGTCTTGTCTTGGGAAACATAAAACTAGCGATCTGGGAAGACTTACCACCATATTGATATCCCCAGCAGATTTCTATATTCAKTCACCAGTTTCGATAGTCCTTTAGGTTTGAATAGCCTGAACAGTATTAATAAGATTCAATCTGTAAACGTAATAATTTTTAGATTTTTATCACTAGGACGCATTATTTGGCACAATTTTTTTGTAACCTTAATAGGTTTAATAATTTATTATAAATTAACATTAATCCCTGATTACGGTAGGGTTTGCACRGCACACATTTTATTAGCACGTATTTTATTAGATTTGTGAACTTCTTGTTCACTCGTAACTTATTCACAAAATGTTTCAAAGAAGCAAAATAATACAGCAATTCAAATACACAAGGGTTTCGGCAGCTGTCACGGTCAATTATAGCGGACATAGGCAATGTCTGCATAAGAAAAGAAGTTAGGAAGTGAAATATGAGAGGGAGGCTTTTAAAGCGTCATTGATAAATTATAAGAGGTAGTTTCAAGACAGCAAACACTTGTTAAGTTACCGTACTTACAGAAATTGAAGATTATGATTTTTAGTCCTTTATACTCCTATATTATTTTCTGGGTGATAATTATTTTTATACTTGAGAGACCTCGATTTTAGTTTGCAAATTTGATAAGAAGAAAGAGTGAAATGAGGCCGGTTTTCGTGTCCTTCCCCTAAAACACATCGTTCACTRCAAATTACTACCSATTGTCCCACTTGTCAGGTTTGTAAGTAGTTTTTAGGTAAAGACTAGAAGGCCCTTGTACTTCGTAGAGTGGAATAAAGTATTTTTCTACATATTGTTGTGTGTAAATGACTATCAAAAACTCAAGTAAAGATATGTGGGAGGAGCTTAGGGATCATCCTTGAATCAGAATATATTTGTAAAAATATATTTATTACTGCATATGGCGAATTAATATTTCTCATAATACAAATTGAAGATTGTCAGTCTCTTATATGCAAAATTGGAAAATTATTACCATCATTTCTTAAATCTAAACCGATCAACCCCTACCCCCACGGAAAATCATATTGGACTGCTAGAACTCATTCCTCCTCGGACAAAAAATAAAAATGGCGGCTGTAAACACCGAAAGTAAACTGAGCAAAGAAAATGTCGTAACAACTGGTAAAAAAGTTGTTTTTGCATAAAATTTCTGTAATTTCCATAATATTGTAACCTTGAGATGCAATTGATTTGGTTTTCTGTAGAGGTAGCGTTGAAAGAAGGTTGGGCTGTTAAAGAAAGTGGACAAGCTTTCCTCGGCAAAACAAACTGGAGAAGACGATGGTGTAGACTTGTCAAAGACGCGTCTGGTAATATTACTTGGTCATATTACCGGTAAGTTTATATTTAAATGGAGAAATATATTCAATTTATTGGTAATCGTTGAAGGATAAAATATACAACGATGATAATTTGTATTAAAATTATCACTTCCGGTTTTACAACAATTTCAAGATTCATGGACCATACGACCATGACTCAAATCCGAAATCCTTGATACGACTACAATACGGAGACATTTTTGCATCACTTGCAATGAAATTGCAGAGAATACTGAAACAGCCCGTCACTTCAAGCACTCGGTTCAAGCACCGACTAGAAACCACAAAGGGCTTTTAGCAGGAACTTTGAATACACCAGTGAACTTGTCAAAATGGATTATTTTTTATTACTTTTAATTTTGTTCAGCGTAATTAAGCATTATAAATGAGTTTAAAAAAATCTCCACTATTCGCTGTCACTAATCTCACAGTCAATATTTTGTCAAAAGATGTAGTACGYAGTTTTTGAAGTAGTGCTTCTGTGCTTCTACGTTCAAGTACTTGGAGAGTACATCCATCTTTCTGCGGGTTCAAAACTGAGACAGTTTGACTTTTCCTTCATTTCCGGTAACATACCATTCCAAACTTCTTGCTTGCTTTAAGCACAGCTCGTTTCATATCTTCAACTCGGTAGCAATACAAGACAGGATTAGCAAGAGATTTAGACAGGAAAACCGTCACGGAGAATCGAAACAAATGAGCAAAMGTTTCTTGCCCGAAGTTTTTTATGAGAGTCTTTTTGGAAGCTGCCACAACAACAAGTGGCAGCCAACACAGAATAAACACCAACTGTACCCACACAGATGTCTTGATAGATTTAGCACGTGCCTTTTGAGCGATTTCAGTGGAATTACCGCTCAGTGATTGAGCTCTGATTTGATTTCTGTGACGTTTAATGATTTTGTACATGCTATAGTAGATATAGATGGATTCTACCAGGCAGACTAGGGCTGAAATGGACCCAATTAGTACAATGACTTGATAAGAAAGGTTATATACTGTTAAAGGTACGAAAATTAACGCTATAACCCACAAACTCAAAACCATAATGATCGTTTTTCGTACTGTGATGACTACAAGATATCGCAGATGCAAAAACAGGGCAAAGTAACGATCCCATAGAATCAGGGTAACTCCAACTAGAGAAATCCCCCCAAATATTAGAATGAGAATATCAATCAAGGACTCCAAAGGTTTCTTTGTGATGGTCGAAAAGATGAAAGTCGGTTGAGTAACAATCCCTACGCCTAGGTCAGCAAGTGCTAAGTTCCAAATCAGGACGTGTGCTGGAGTATGAAGCTGAGTCGTTTGTATCACCACAATGAGGACGAAAAGGTTGCTTAAAATAGTAGGAATAGCAAGAACAACATTGATAAACACAGTTAAGATAACTCCTGCAGATTCCATGTCAGCAACCTAGCAGCGATTAATAGCTTGCATACTCGGCTTGTTTAACTTAAACTTGAACTACTTTCCTATGCAACGAGTCCCTCTATCGTTTTTAATCGCTTATGTAGCAGTCAATATGCAATTCATATATTGTAAAAGAGTTTGTATCCKGTTCTTTCTAATGAAATGCAATATTCATGATTGATAAAAGTGCAACTACTTTTAAACTCTTTTTCTTATTGGTTTTTCAATATTTTTGATCATTTCAACAATTCAGTGGCTCTTAAACCGTTTGACATTCATTATAAGTAATTCGAATCATCATTTCTTTTTTCATTGTTTTATGTATTGCACCTCTCTTGTCGAAACTCAAAAACACCGAGACATTAAAATCGTCCTGAAGAAGTCGTTTTGAATGGGCATAAGTTGATCACTTGTTCTCTTAGAGGAGGTCTATCAAGAGTTTTCAATCATATACTTGGTCCTCTTCTCTTACATGTGACATAGATTGACGAAAGTACTACCGGCCTTAGCCATATGTTTTTTTTTTCTTTCTTGTTTCTGGTGTTTGGGGCTTTTTTCTAACAAAAAGCATTTGTCATTTCTCGGGACATACTCTCAATTAATGCTCATCCGACTCTCAACTTCCGATAGCGTTGATTTCGAAATTACGTTCTCCGTAGTTATTCACGGCGGAGATATTTTTCACGGTGGAGATATTTTTCACGGTGGAGTACTGCTTGTTTCCGTGTCCTTACTCGTCCTGACCATTTGACTGATATATAATGCATTGTAAATAATAATTCCGAGAATCACTTTTACAGGAAAAAAGACGACGTGAGTCCAGCTGGTTGTGTTCAACTCGACTCGACATGTAAGTCTATTTTTATAGTTCATAGAGATGTCAGTGTAACAGTGGGCGTTAMAGCCCGTTTAATTAAGGAGACAAACAAACAAGGTCAGATGGATTCAGTTCTCCTTGACCATTGAAGAAACCATTGTCTACAAGGAGTCGTCACTGTGCGATGTTGTAAGAGTTCCTCAAATTTATTTTTCGTATGGATTTCAGTATTATTTCCTTATTAAAATACCTTATAACGAAATACAAAAAAATCCTGTTCATTTCTTTAAAATAAATCTTCACTTTAGTAATTGCGAACTGAAAATTGCTTTACTTCATGTCWGTGATGTTGATGCTGTTTTTGCAGACGTTGCCCGTGAGCTTGAAGTAGGAGAAGAAAAGCAAAAGCCATTTTGTTTTGCACTTGGACCAATCATTGACAATTTAGCCACGAGGACCTATTATGTAAGCTGTGGTAAGTTAATCRCAYCATTGAACCATTTTTTTTGAATTCTGATTACATTGTTTTGTCTTGTAGACTGTGAAGAAGACAAGCTTTCGTGGATGGAAGTCATTGGGGCATCAATAGAAAATGACTACACTTCGTCTGATCACTTTAWTGCCAATAGAAGAAGTGTGCGATCTAGAATGGATAGGCGGGTAAGAAACAGCACAGTAAGGAAATGAGAACATACTCTGCTCTCACTATTCAAAGCAGTGTTGATAGTGAACTGGGRAGAGCAGTGTAGGACTATTCCACACTTTCCACAGTTTAAGTATAGTCTGATTTTCAGACGGGCCTTCAAACGCGTTGGTAAGGACCGTCTGAAAATCAGGCTACGACTTTWAGTAAATCTCAGTCAAAGTATGCTTAAATCTTCGGGTGTACCATTTTCTAGACCAAAATGAAACGTCATGTAAGGAGCCTKTCCGCCCCAGCACAAGTGCTGTCTTCTGAAGATCAAGACTATTTGGATCCAGTCTGGAGACTACAGGTACAGGAAGCATTCACCGATCGTGTTGATTCCTGACACGTAATTTGTTTGTTCTATTGTCTGATTGGTCAGTTTTGTAACGTTTGTTGTGAGATTTGATTGGCTCATAATTTGTTTGTATATTTTGCCTCGTTTGGTTGTAGCAATGGAAATCGCTTTGTTCAGTCATAATTTGTTTGTATATTTTGCCTCGTTTGATTRTAGCAATGGAAATCGCTTTGTTCAGTCATCAAGGAATCTGTTTGGAAGAAGACAGATACAAAACATGGCGTTACTTTGTCACGATTGAGCTTCAAACATGAAAAATATGCTATCATTAGAGTAGAAGGTTACATACCAGTTCCTCATGAACATATCTTTGAATATCTGCTGACAGCTTTAAGACCTGGAGGAAAGGTACGTCACACTGCACTAGTCCGGGCCATAACTAATCAAAAAGTAATTATTACTGTTTTCTTGTCATTCAGTTGGACCACGCCTTCCGAAACGAGAACGTCTTGCAAATTATCGAAGGTAGGTCTCTGTTCGTTTTTATTTTTTTCGAGTTACTGCAGCTATATCCATTCAATCTCATAACGTTATGTTTAGACTCAATTCCTCGAGCTTCTATTGTCACAAATACTTACAAACTTCCAATGCCTAACATGTCGACCCGTGAATGYTGCCTGGTACGGTGCTGGATGCCGTCGTACATGACAAGAAACGGGACATGCGGTAAGAACTCCTAAACCCTAGAACTCTTTTCTAGTATTATGACACAAAACGCTGTCTATTAACACTTTTTTTTCTTTCTAGGACTATTTGTGACTTCAGTGAATCATCCTTTCCATCAAACGACCAAGGTACTAATGTAGTTCTGTTTTTATTTATTTATGGTGCTGTGATATTATGTCAGTTATAATGTCATGACGTCAGCATGGTTTGATGTCGTTGAAACGTATCAAGATGCGCATTGTTATGAAAACGTTTGGTAGATTATTGTTGAACATTAAATTAAAAGCAATGTTTGTTTTCTTTAAGAGTTCTCTTCGTGTCCACGTGAAGCCGTCAGGGTTTGTCTTGTCTCCCTCCTATCAACAAGGTGTGATCCTTTGACATCATATTTCAACAATATGTATTTTCATGCTCCATTCYTTCTTAATCTTTTCATATTTCACGATTCTTTGCTCGCTATCTTACTCCTACCCATCCTTTCTCTCTCTCTCTTTTAATTCTATTGATTTCTTAACGSTCCGTTTGTCTTGCTGTAGACGGCKCAGAGCATACACTGGTCAGCATCTTAACCCAGATTGACTTACAAGACTCCTTGCAGACTATGCTAGAAACCACTTTTAAATCAGGTAACAACTATACCATCACAGGTATGAGTATGTCGTCGGGTTTCCTGTGCATAAACTGGGTCCTTATGACCTATACAAAGGAAGCCCGTTTTCTGYGGCTTATAGTTTCCCAAACTATAGTTCTATACAGTTAGTTATTTCTTCATTCCATGTCTTAAAACCCTGACATATTAGATATTAGTGTTTCAAGGCGCTTCATTGTGTTGCAGGCCTTTTAAAGATTGGTCTTCGGACAGCTTTCAACCACATTAGCAATCACATCCAGAAATACTATGCCATGGTGAAAATATAGTTTTATTGTATTGCGCTTTTAACAACAGCTGTCGCCTTTAAATTATACATAATGACTGAACTGACTCATGGGAACTGTTTTGAAACGTACTTGTCTGTTAATAGTTGTTGTGCCGTTAGTTCAGTGGACGAAACTGCTGGTCAAGTTGAAACAAAGATTGCATATAATGTATTTTTTGATAGTTCATAGACTCAAAAKTATGTCAGATATACGATATATTGTTTTCAAGACATGTAAAAGTATGCAGGATATCCAGGGAGGGGAGGGTTAGGAGGATGAACGCGCTTTGTGTGAAATTTGATCTTATAATKGAGCTGTGGCACAATGTATAAATTTGATGTCAAGGCTGCAGTGTTTATAATCACAAATCTCATATTTAATATATTTTGAAATACGAATCTTGATTGAATAATAAAAGCAATTCAATAAAAGCAATTTGATACAATTGTCTTCCAGACAAATCGAATGAAAAGAAATTGAAGAAATGGATAGGAAATGAGAAGACAATATATTTGATGAAAAGAAGAAAAATATGAAAAAAGTGTAGATTTTTCGTTGACAGTGTACTCATAAACAAGATAAAATAGCCAAGAAATTTATTTTCATCTAATCATCTTTTCACGCTGAGGCACGTAAACAACTTTGGACTAATTAAGGGCTGAAAAGATTAATTATTTTTAATAATATATTTGTCAAGAAATGGAATCGGAAGAGATCTAAATACCTTTCAAAGTGTCGTTTGTGCAAATTTGACGTGAAGTGATGCTAATATTTGTGTTTGTGGACTATTTTAAGATTAGACCATAATACTTAGATTATACATCATTATAGTGAATATGCCTCTTTTCCCGCCGACATTTGACTGCCATTTTTTGTGGTTTACTTTTTAATTGTGCTATTTCTATTTCATACTGATTGATTCCTGTCTTAAACCGAAAATCGTATCACGTACCACACGATGCAATGAAGAGAAATAACGAGACGTACTTCAGTATCCTGAATTAAATGAATAATGGATATGTTAAAAACATCTTTCGACACTAAGGGTTTCTAGAGACTATAGATATTCAATGTAGAAGTAAATGTAGTTTGTACTATTTTAAGAGGTGTTATTGTTTAAACGTAAGCGGGTATTAACATGTATTGTGAAGTTTTTAAACCGTTTGCTTGGTGCTTCTAAAGATTTAAGACCGTGCAGCAAGAAAATACCTGAAAAATTCGACTAGATTCACTAAAACTATGCGATGCAAAGGTAAACTTTTGTCGGAAATTATTTGGTTAAATARGACAAATTCTTTCTTTTCCTTCTAAAGAAATAAATATAAGATTTTCCATTCGTTAAGAAAAGAACAAAAATAATTATGAAAAGTATTATGGGTTAAAAATAGTGATTGTTTCATTAATTCCGTTGCTGTAAGTAACAATGGTATGACGTATTTGTAAAAAGTTATAAAAACATTGGAATAATCATAATAATTTTTGGAATATTTAATATCAAAATATTCCCTTACATCATGCAGGATTAATACTTTTTTATAAGAAAGATAACTGTTAGATTAACATTTAACAGACGATTTACTATATTAAATCTTAAAAGTTATGAAGGGTAATAAATTCACCGAGATTCCAGATGTCAAAGTCAAGCTTTCGTAAAGTTTCGGACAGATTCCTTTTTTCATCGTTAGATAATAGTAAAGGAATCTTAAAAAACAAAAACAAATCAAATTCGGTAAAATTTCTGTGGAGGTTAAGAATTTTCTAGTATTGTATGCGATTGTAAGTCGTAGAACCGCCCCCTCCCCTACCGTGTGGGAAAAATTTGCATGTCAAAATCCCTGAATCAGATTGTTGAACTACGAGCCGACGTTCCGCATCCAGGGTTTTATTACTTCTTTGGATGATTCGCTCATCGCAACCTGAATTAATTAGAATATTATCAAACGATGGTTCAAGATCGCAAGAAAGATGCGACTTACGGCTTTACGACCGGAGTAATGGATATGAAAGCGAAAAATGGTATTGTGCGAAAATCCACAGCGAGGGCTTTTGACTCTGTTCGTTCGACCAGTAGTTTTATCTATTCCAACTCATCTGGCGGAGAGGAAACAGGTAAAAATGTCAATATTAGTGATTTTATATCTCTTCTAGTATTTCACAACTTTACAAACTTCCTTTACACATAATTTCATAAAATTTGATGAGATTTATCCCGGAATATCTTGCCAAATCAATCTCTCGATATCCTCTGATGTACTCCTTCAGCACGTAATGGATTTTTATCAACCGTTTGTAGAATTTGAGGTCGACGATGAAATGCCAGACGATGATGAGATCGAGGAACGGTTTTCTGTCCTTCTGGTGAGTTATATCATTTAATATGTCATGTTGCGCGCAACCCAGGTTGTATTTTGACTTAGATTGATGCTTTTTAATTCTTGTTTTTCTAATTTTCTTAGGAAAAAATGGCTTTACCACCAGCTAGAGCAGCTGAACTTTCMAAAAGTCCCAAATCACACAAATGGAAGATGATTAAAGCGAAAGTAAGTTCAATTTTTTCACATATTTTTTCAGTTGTTTTCCACTTGAATGCTTGCAAAGCAATATTGGTACAGTAGTCGTGTTGGTGCTAAATGATGTTCAAGTAGTTCTATTGTCATTCTTAGTCGATGTCGATTTATTATCTAGAGATTGAACAATCGAGAACAAAGAATATTATATACGTAATACTTTATTTTCCACGGAATCTTGATCAGAAGTTTTGATAACTTCTTGAAGTCAACTGCATAACACCATCCCACGTAAATATTATTCCTAGTCATCTTAAAGTCATAAAAAATTCATTCCAGCTTTGCAATAATCTTAGATCACCATCGTTATTGTGTTGAGGAATATTAGCAACTTTAAAGTGACGAAAGTTTAATCTTCCTCATTTTAAAATCTATTTTATGTATTTTTAATGACAGACTGAAATGGACGAGGAATAGTTGTTTTAAAATAACCGAAAAATGGCTCAAACGCACGAGTATCTTAGTATTGAATTTCATAAATAAAGTTATATGTCTTTGAAAACATGAGTTGTTACTAGTTATGAAGGTCTTAATTGCTGGTTTTCTGTAGCGTCGATGTTAGTGGTAATTTATGCTTTTCCGATGTTGTACGAATTGAAAATAACTTTCTTTAATTAACGTAAATTTGTAATCTTGTTCTCGCTAGGGAAACATAACGATTGGACGTATTCAGAGAGAAAACGTTTGTACCGCTATCGTACAAAACATCACTTCAACAATTCCCATGAATTCTTCTTTCGCAAAGTTATTTTTTTTTCGTTATTCTCCCTAGCAACACTAAAACTTTCGTGTCAAAACAGAACTCCAAAATTCTTGTTTTAATTTCGCATGAGAATCTTTGACAGTTTTAGTACCTGTTCTTAAAATTACATACTCTTAGCCTMTCTTCTTTAATCATAAATAAACAATATAATTCGCTGCATTTGACAAAATGTRTTTWTATTRAGAAGTTTGCGTTTTTTCTGCCTCAATATACTCATCGATTAAAAAGAAAAACAAAGCAGGAATTGATTCGATATTCTTCGATAAAATTACATGTTTGTTTTAGTGTCAGTTATCCTGTTTTAGTAATCATTAGACTTCCAAACATACATCCCATCATACCCTGCGTTACGTAATATAATTAAAATAAGTGGAATGTCGTATCGATAAATGTCAACGTTATGCAGGCTAATTAGCAATTACTAGTGAATATAAACAGACGGATTCTGCTGCCAATGACTTTCTTTTTTGTTTTTTTTATTATTCTCATTACTTAAAAGCCAGGGAGTTATAATAAAAGAAAAAAGAAAAAAAACAAAAGATTATCCGGTTTAACTGTTTGATAGGCAAGAGTATCTACCAGTACGACATGAATTACAGCAATTTTCATATGACTTGACGCAGCAAGCAAGTTAACTGCGATCTCTAAAGCACCATGTTRATATGATGGCTTAGCGATAAGATGTGTTCATTCGTGTCTAGGAATTCCAAACGTTTCTTCCCTGTTTGACTGCGAGACTGTCTATCTTTATGCAGATAACATAGTCGGGGGGTCGAAATATCCTGCCTCCATGTGTAAATCCATGCGACGATTCAGTCTGAATGCATTAGTCTTAAATTTAAATTTTAAATTTTACATATGATGAGTAAATTATTATTCTGAAATCCCTATGTAAAAGTTTTAAATTAATAACTATCTTCTCATATTGAAATCTCCTGCTGCACTGACAGGGCTATTCCCATTCCCATTCCCATTCTTTCATTTCTTTTTATTTCACTTTACTCTATTTGTTTACTGTTTTTCTAGGAGCAAATGGAGCCCAAGTATTCGTCTGGATTCTACATCGAGCAGCTGAGAGGACATCGTCAAGTKKCTACTGACAGACACAGTGCCTCATCKAAACGWGCAGCAAAGTCACTAGAACCAGTTGAAATGATCCTGAGATCGTTAGAGGTCGACCTACGGACACACCCCAATACAACGTGAGATATTGAAGTGCATTTSACTGATTTATTAGGGTTCTATCTCCATTTAATTGTGTGCATTGAATTCATGAAACAATGTCTTGTATTTCAGATGGCTAAGAGAGTTTATTGACGATCCTTATCGTGGTCATATTGCWCTYATTGAATTTCTTGAACACCTTCATCTTAACCCTCCACACAAAGACACTCCTATACCACAGGAACTCCAATCCGAGACCGAACGATCACGTGGAAGAGGGCAGACTGGTAGTATGAGATCTTTGAAGGGCGAGACTTTTGCAAGAAGCTATGTAAGACGTATGCATACATGTATAGATAAACACTGAAGGTTAAGCAAATGATTTTACGGTTTTTGCCGCTTACCACAGCCTTAGAAATGCTCACTTTGCCTGCATAAAAAGCAATCGGTCCTGTATCAAGCCGAGTTTGTCCTGCAGGTCCTGTGTCAAGCTTTAGTAATTTGTTATTTTGTCTCGTTTAGATTGATGAGCATCTGTGTCTGCAAGGTCTGCGAGTTCTAATGAAAAACAAGGTAAAGAAAGCCTTATCTACAGATCAGTCTGCTGAATTAACTAATGATATAGTTAGTCCTTATTTGGTATATTGATTCCATATTTGGTCATTGTTTTAGTATGGTTTCCAGTCCGTCATGAGCGTACCTGATACTGTAAAAGCCATCATTCTTTGTCTTAAAATCAACAGTCGTAAAACGCAGGCCCTTGTTATTCGTGTAAGTAAAGCAAAACAACAACAACAACAACAACAACTGGAATAAACGATTATGACTATGAATTATAGATTTTAAAAAGATTTCTTACTTTGCTATTCATTTTAGATGTTGACGCAAATCTGCAGTGAGATCGAATACTACGATAGAATCATCGATGCCGTACGTTTCTTCATGAAGACATCGCGAGAATCAAAACCATTTGAGACCATCGTGTCTTTGATCTTCAAAAAACCGATATCGCCGTCTTTTCAGGTGAGTATCTTACACGTACATAGCGCGCTATACTGGTTTGTCCAGACACTAATACTTGTTTGTCCAGACACTAATACTACTTAATTCTAGGCCATTTGCCTGACGTTTTTTAACAAGTTCATCAATTGCTGCCCATCTTTCAATGTCAAAGTCTTTCACCAACAAGAGATCGAGAATGCAGGATTGGATCCAGACAAAGTTGAACAGGTCAGTCGAGAATAACTCACCCACTACCAAGCGCGCATTTCAAGGCATCTTTCTCTTCGCCGCGGACTAGATAATCCGCGAGTTGTGTACAAAACAAATGTTGCAATCATTTTTGACCAGTGTTTTGTTTTTATTTACCAGACTCTTGAAGGAGTTGAAGCCAAATCAGTTCGCGACGCCTTGAAAACATGGCGAAGCAGCTACATCAACGTACAGAATGTTGTTGATGAATTTGTCACGTTGCGAGAGAGAACCAAGTACTTGCGTGACGAGGTATGAATGTGTTCTGTGTTTGTTTGTTTGTTTGTTTGTTGTTATTTTTTACGCAATAGTTTTGTTGGGCTTACACTAAGCGGCCACCAATAAAACATTTGGGATCCCTGTGCTTATTATCTCTTAGAAAAGAAATAATTTAATATAAAGGCATCTTATTCACAATTCACTCTGCATATTTGGTTATTGGTTATTGAATGTTGGTTATTATTCACCTTAGGTTGATCTACTGACGTCCAAACTAGAGGTACAAGAAACATGTTATTTACCATTCTTACCCTCCTACCCCTCCCCTTCCCTTCCCCCTCCCCCCTCCCTGCCTCATGTGACTACGTCATCGTTGCCTTGTACAGGTTTTTGACCGTTGTCTCTCAACAGGAAGCAGAGAAATCTCAAGTTGACACCAAAAAAAGGAATGAAGAGGTGAAAGGAATATTGCCTTTTTTAATTCCTTTTCACATATCTTTAATATAATTTGAGATATAATTATTACTGCATATCAYATTTTCCATTTTTTTTACACTTGGCTACTGCCATATGCAATCACCTTAATACAGCGACCATGTATAGCGACCACCTCTACACATCGACCATCTCTACATACGACCATAGTAGTAGAAGACGATGTAACTCTCTGTACAACGTTTATTGACTTTAATTTCTTGTTACAGCTAGAAGGTGTTGCTGAAGAATACAGACTACGAACAACAGAAYTACAGACAACACTAGAGAATCTTGTGGTAAGAATGAGTGCCTATAACACCTCGTGTAAGCGGACACCCTCCGTTAGGCGGCCATGATGCTCTGAAAAATTTATAGAAGCCGTAGAAAAACCGTAATTGTCATAGAAACTGTACTTTAATTGTRAACATCTCTTGTTTGGTTTTATTCTGTATTGAATGTTGCGTTCTATAGTTCATTCATGTTGAAGGGAAAAAAGTTTGAAARCTGTAGCTAAAATTAGTGAATTCATTTCAGAAACAAGTGAAACATGACGCAGAGGCCGTTCCAGAAGATCTGATCACTACACTCTCTGAGGCAGCAGCAGCAGCTGTTGTACCGGAAGCACCACCTCCTCCCCCKCCACCACCCCCACCGGCACCGATGAATGGTAAGATCTTTGACTCCCTTGCACACAAGAAGCAATTGCACTTACATCACCACCACCCCCACGGGTATCACTGGAAGTCACGTGCCGGTATTATACAGTTATATAACCACCCAACAATTTTAGAAAAATAAGAATGTAAACTAACACTATCAGTTCTAAAATAGAAAMCCTTGCTAGCTACATTTACTCTTCTCATGTTTAAAAGGTTTCTATTAATCTTCACCTCATGCCTTCCTATTCTATTTACTGTCGATAAAACTCCCCAGGCGAGACATCGTTAATATTGCTGGATGGCTGTACACAGTGTTTTCAAATGAACATCTTGTAATGATAACCGGGAAACATCTCTTAATGTYCAGCTCTCGTCCAACTAGAACTCTCTTCGATCTGAAAATACTTGAGAATTTAGGAATTGCYCTAGACAGTATGTCTGTTCGTAGATTTCTGTTTTATAAGCCTAATGTGGTGCTTATATATGCACCTGTTTGTATGGTGTAATGTGGATTTAGTGCCATTGTTATGCCTCCTAGCGGTTGAACATTAAGAGACTTCTATAATATCTACAATAACGACAAATAAGTAGTCCTTACAAAGCAATGTTAAGGATGTATACAGATATATTTCGTTTTTCAAATAGTATTTAGGCCGTTTTCAAAAAAGACGAAAAATTAAAATTCGTTGAGTTGTAAAATTCGGAAGAAAAATTCATAGGGTTTWCAATATCTATTTTACGACACGTTTTGATCGTCCTGACGGAAATCTTAACTGACAATTGATGAATCGAGAAATCGTTTTTCGTTGTGATATATCATCAGAGGAGAAACCCGAAAGATGAATATTGTGTTAATGTCTCTAGCAACCATTCATCCCTTCCATCAAATCAATCCTTTTAATGCAATTGACAATTCTTGTCTTTATCAGGTTTTTACATATACAATAGTTATCTATACACTTCACATTACTCAGTGTTTGATATTTACATTAACTTTTTTTTGCGTAGGGTACGGTGTTTTTTTTTCAATCATGTTTTTATTGTACAACGGGTCTACAGTGTGTATATATTGCCWTCTTACAAAACACGTTCAATATACTTATCATCAGAGAATCCAAATGCAAATAACTTGAAAAACATTAACATTTTTGGTTTTCCCGCTATGAACAAAAACAGGAAGAATTCAGCAAAACAGCTTAAGTCATTTTTAATTTTGTTGAAAGGATGTCGAAAGAGATATATAGTTTGATTACACATGCAGATTAACAGCTGATGTACAACTGTGTGGAATGACGTCTGATAAAACCATTTGATACTCATTATCAGTGAGCATACACTTTGATCTTGTGTATGATATCTGTCCTGACCTCCCTACGACCGTCGAAGCGTCGACTGATTTTAACGAGTTTTCATCTTTGACACAAGGGTAACATTTCCACCCTCGTGGGCAAATCACTTCTTTAGATGCCTTTCGAAATTCTCGACTTCTAAAAAAATAAATTAATGGATTCAATACTGCAGAAGCCATACCGACTGCCAATGCCCAATGAGGCACCAAGCCATTCCCACCTGTACTGTCAAGATGAGGCGATACTGCAAACGTGTACGCGATCGGTGACCAAGTCAACGCAAACACTCCAACAATTAKTCCTATAGTCTTAGCGAGTTCGCGTTCTGTTTTGCGTCTTATGTTAACTAATGTTTTCCGTCGTGATTCAAGTTCGTGATGTACTTTTCTTTGTTTTCTAATCGCTAGAAACATGAAAACATAACAAACTATGATTATGATGTAACATCCCACTATTGCAGCTAGTGTCATAATTGATTCCACTTTATCATTATACAATTCGAGTCCTTCTGTTATTCCTACGGCTACAGACACTACCCATGTCATCGCTATTGCTAGTTTTGCCTTTGTTTCGGTAATTCGTAGCTTGTATTTTAATGGATTGCATATAACATACGATCGTTCCACGCTCATTAATGTCAGTGTACAAATAGAGGCAGTAAAGGCAATGTGATAAACGATTCGATTCACATAAACGATATCCCACGCGCAGTTCTTGACGTACCATTTATAAGCAATGACGGACGAAAGAGGTGATGAAACAACAGAGAATACAAGACCAGCAAGACTCAAACTGCAWAGAAATAAAGTATTGTTTGAACGGAGCTTCCGCGATCTTGAAAATGTCATGAAAATTGCAACATTTGACAAACTCCCCAAAAGAGAGATGGCTACTTTGAAARCAATCTCGGTAGTAGCTTCACACAAGTCTTTTTGACATTTTGTTATTTTCCCCATTGCTTGTCGTCTAACGGTGCGGCTGAGATGGGCATTACATCTTGAGTTACCAAAAATACAACCAAGTGAACAATCAAATGGTTACCGAAATATAACACTGGTCAAGTGCTGTAAAAAAAAGCCTTTTAAGTCAACTTCCGATTCTGTTGTACAAAACTGCGTTTAGTTGAGTAAAATAGCGTTCTTGTCACTAGCAGAACTTGTATTGACCATCAGGAAATGATTGAGGTTGTAGTAGCTTTTCGTGACAACACTTTCTTTTTAATGATCTAGAATCCAATCCATTAATTTGATTCGAAACGCTTCTATTGGACGAAAGCTTATTGGTTTACAAACATCAAATGACATTTGTCGCAATGAATAAGAAAGCTAAGGGCTGGTAAACTAATGAAAAACCTAAAATATTACACGATTGCTATTGTCGTCATGGGAAATCGTCTAAGTGCAAGTGATCGTGATTCAACCAAGTTGTTTTTACGAAATTAAAAGTGTTTTCTGTTGTTTAATCTTTACATTATGCGATGTTTTCTTTGTAATCAAACGTTAAGTACAAGTATAAATAGTATGTGATTTGAAATCCCGACCATGAGGTATTGATGAGACTCTAGTAGAACAATCTCATCGTCATCTTTTGTGTCTTTCTTCCTGTTTTGCAATTATCGTAAAAAACCCTGTGTCATAGTAGAGGAAGTCGAATTAGTATTTAAAAGGATTACTTTTAAATAATATTGAGTTTTAACAAGATGAAAAAGACTTTTAGAAAATTAGATATTTTATTTTGATGTCTTCTGAATAACATTTAAAAACATTAAATATATTATTGAATATGTCACTTTTATAGAATTTTACGTCAAGACAAAGCAATATATAGCTGCTTGTTTGGGGATGTTCGCAGGGTCCTAGGGGAAAAAAGCAGATTTTTTTAAAGAATCTAAAAATACGAGTAACTCCAGTTAAAATACACCTTAAACATCCTGTTATAACTCACAACTACTTGKTTTTTGTATATTTTTTGTTATTTAATAACTGTAAAGTAATCACAACACGACAAAAACGCGTTTAATGTCACAAGACCCGATCAAGGAACTGTATCTTATACATTATCTTAGTTCTTACCCTCCAAAGCGCGTTATCCATAGCGGCTTAATGGATCTGTCAGTTTAACTCATTATTACAATATTGAATGAATCTAATGGGCGTATTAATCTTGATGGACTAAAGACATGAATTGTTAAACACATTTTTACAATATAAGTACAACGCATAAGTACAAAATAATCTGACGAGACAAACAACGTATATGAAAAACAGATGTAAACGGTTTTTTAGCTAAAGTCGCAGCACAATACACCTGCAAATTAACGTRTAATGTTCTTGCACTAGATTTGAATGCACCTGAATCGCTGCCCAATATGCATTACTGGGATAGTTACTCCGGTAAGTGRACTACCACCCAGTCCCTCTCGCTTGTTGCATGCGTAAGATTARTAAAAAACAATACATCCAATGATGAATAAAATCTCCCTAAAAATAAATTATTATTAAAAGGAATTAAAAATCTGAAATAATTTGAGCAAGTGTTAAATTCTCCAACTTGCCTTGGTCTCCGTTGTGAGAAAAGTTTCAGTGAGCGATGCGTTGGAAACTTGTCTTGTGGCTGAGAATAAGGCTAGTTTCATAAGAAAATAAACAGGGCTTTCAGTCCCATTGGTCTATATAAATTCAGAATGACATGTATACGCAATGAAACAAGTGAAGTGGAAGGGAATGTTTACAAATCTATTTACTCCTTAATTGAATATATCATCAATTAATGAACTTAATAACCATTAAAAAAATTTAAGATTGAATGCATGCATAACGTTTCATATTCTATACATGAGTTAATAATTGCATGCCTAATGCTCTTTGTGCGCATGTTCCACTTGCAATGCTTGAGTTCTAACCTTTTCATCTAAACTAGTTCCTGTTTTCTTGGTGTTCCTTAATCTTTGCTTTCAAGTTCATGTTATCAAGCCTGTACTCCATTTTGTTTATGGTCGCAGGTTTTGTCCACAAAGATTTGTTTTCGTAGCGTTTATGTATTCTTTTTCATTTTACGTCGGAGATCAATACGAAAACGATACGAAAACAAATCATGGCCTCAAAATGACTCCTCAGCAGCGGTAMCGTGGATATGGTCTCCATAAATATAATCATCACCATAAATATAATCATCATCATCCCTTTCATCATGATTATTGTCATCATTTTAAATGTATTGTAGTTTATTGTCATGACTTCTATTTCGTGTGTGTTAGAAAACTCATTGCATTTGAGAAAACGCTTTCAACACAAAGCCATTCGTCTTCCTCTACTGAACTGGATGCCAATACTGAATGAAGTCGAGGACTCGATATTCAAGGTCAGTGGTAAACAACAAACAAATGAAATATTGCCATCATTTTGAAGTCTTCCATGTAATGTACAATTTGCAGGGGGTAAAAACAAAAGATATTTTGCTCTTTAGGAAACCAGACCTTGTATTTCTTCGSCCAGATCTGGTGTTGCATTCCCCGGCGCAAACAGTAAGGCGCTCACTACTCGCCACGCAACACTGATACGATTTGGCGAGTTTTTGAATTGTAATTTTTATTCCAGGCTGTTAGAGATGAGGACGTCATCAATGACATGGATTTTGATGATTTTGATCGACGATTTGAAATCAAGGCAAGCGATGCTGTCGAGGAAGTCCAGGCCAAGAGAGAAAACGGTAAATAAGCCGATACTTTAAGACATGAGGAACAATATATTGTTAATGAGTGTTGTAGTCATCAATGTAAAAATGCTTTCCCTTTTCTACATCACAGCTGTGAAACGAGCCGCTGAACAGATTACCGTCTTGGACTCCAAGCGCGCAAGGAATCTTGGTAAGCAATGCTCATCTCAATATTTATTTCTCTCTAGGTTGATGTTTTCAATCACAGTTTTTTAAAACCAACTTTTTTTGTATTTCAGTTATTGCTCGGCATCGAATTAAACATCCTACTGATGAAATAAAGAAGTTTGTCGATAGCTGTGATTTGGTGGAGCTCCCCCCGGAACACGCTGAATTAYTGCTCAAGTTTGTCCCTACTAAAGAAGAGGTTAGGTTTACGTGTAGACTGTTAGATTTTATGAACTTTGTGAGAAGATTTTTATACGTGGTTTAGAGGTGATCGTTATATAGAGATTGTCATCGTATTGTGGTGGTCGTGGTGTAGAGGTGGTCGTTATATAGAGATTGTCATCGTAATGTGGTGGTCGTGGTGTAGAGGTGATCGTTATATAGAGATGGTCATTGTATTGTGGTGGTCGTGGTTTAGAGGTGATCGTTATATAGAGATTGTCATCGTATTGTGGTGGTCGTGGTGTAGAGGTGGTCGTTATTAGTAGAAAAGGTTGTTTTGTAGAGGTTGTTGTGTAAAAGTGTATTTTACAGCTATATAGGTGGTGGATTTGTTGAGGGGTCGTAGTTAGTGTAGAGGTGGTCGCTGTATAAGTTTTACATGATTCATGTTTTCCTTCAGTTGGCTGGTCTATCGCGACATGCTTCAGAGTTTGACAGGATGTCCGAGGCAGATCAATTCATGTTTCAAGTAAGTCAATCATCATTACACAGCCATCAACGACAATATGATGAATGATGCATTAGTAAATGTTTATTGTGCGTTTTAGATGGCTCAAGTTGAACGTTACGAGTCCAAGCTGGGCGTTATGGCTTTCATGGGGGTATTTGAAGAGCTTATGGGAACTGTAGTACCTGTAAGTAATCGATAACCATTCGAACAATCGATTTATGATCGGTGAATGCGTTTGGTTTTAATAAGTTTATTTGTATTGTGTAGGAAATTGACGCTGTYCTGCGAGCTGGAACATCGATTTACAACAGTAACAAGTTGAAGAAACTTTTTAAGGTGAGATTATAATATGTATTACTGTCGCACATCCGTCGTCGAAACATTGTCAGATGATGTTGTTGTTTCTATTAGATTATTCTTATCTATGGTAACTACATGAACAGTAGTAGACGTGGTATGGCGCTTGGCTTCAAGCTGGAATCATTGTACAAGGTTTGAAGACTATTCTCTACTTTACTCTTTACTTTTGAGTCTTCTCTTGCCATTATACGCCCTTTCATTCCTTTCTTGTTTGAATCTTTTCTTTTTTTCAAAATTCTGCTCTTTCCTRTTTTACAATTTACGCTTATTTTGTTTCTTCAGTCCCTTCTTTCCCTCTCAGTCCACTTGTTTACTGTAATTCCACCTTTTCAATTCCATCTTCTTTATTGTTCCTTTTCTATTAGCCATTGCGCTGTCTTCTTTTTTTCTTATCAAATTTCCTTCCCATCATATTTTTCTATATAATATTTATTTTGTTTAGATGGAAGACACGAGGACAACTGATCGCAAACAGACATTCCTGCAGTACCTCGTAGAAACCGTACGTCGAAATTTCCCAGAAATCAGCAATTTTTACGAAGACCTTCATCTTGAAGGGGCCACGCAAGGTAATATGGAAAGTCGGTTGATATTTTGCAATATTTACAAAATATCTTATTGTWATTGTGAGGGTTAACTGTTCCCATATAATACACAMATTCATGAAAAGTGTTTGTCTATGTCATCTGCTAATGTTGTGTGTGTTTTGTTTCTAGTGTCCATTCAGACTTTGGCTGCTGATGTTCAGGGTCTCAGAAAGGGCTTGGATCTCACCAAATCAGAGAAGGACAAACAACCAAATAATTTCGTGATTTTTGTATCTTTTTTCATCGCAATCATCACACGGAAATCCTGGCTTTGTTTTTATTGACTTAATCACTAATTTTTGTACTTAAAATTTCCTTAACTTATTGTAAGAATTTCTACAACGGCGCCTTCCGTAAAGTACATCGCGTCACGGAACGTTTCCGTAAGATGGAAGAGACGTACTCTCAAGTTTGCCATCTTTTTTCTGAAGACCCGAAAACCCGCGAACCATCAGACTTCTTTAAGACGTTCGTTGATTTTATTGCTATGTACAAGGTACATGTTGATGATGATGACATTGATGATACATAGCTATATCCGTGAAACAATAATTTGCCTAATTTTATTAGCATACCATTTCACTGATATATATTGCTATGGATGTGATATAAAATAGTTGTTTTACACGGTGAGGGGGACGATAGAATTGCTATCTTCAGCGATAATTTTACTGACTCCCATTTTCTTTTCTACAGAAAGCGGAGAGGGAATTCGACCAGCAAAAACGGCACGGCTATTCAGGAGCGACCAAGATGTTTGATTATCATGGTATGGCGTTGGAGGCCGCTAACGAGGCCAAGAGGCGTTCACACTACAACAATGGTTATGAACCAACCATTATTTCTATATAATATATCCTTTGTTTTAAACAACCAATAAGCATTCTTGTACCCAGACCTTCTTCGCTTTCAATCAAAGCCTGAAAATTAAACCAAACGATAACAAAAAGTATAAAGGTCTTTAAGCTGCATAAGATCCCGTGGGGGGGAGGGAGCTGTTTTACATGACCAACCTTTTTTATAAGATGAAATAATTAGTTGCAAGCACAAACAATTTATTGAAAATAATGACATAATTGAAGT